TAGCAGCTGAGAGGTGCTGTGCGGCGGCAGCGTCGCTGGCTGCCCCACAGCCCGGCAGTGCCTGCTGGCCTCCAGAGCACAACCCGAAAGGCAGATCTGCTCCACAAAGCTCCCACAGAGATTTGCAGATGAAAAAGAGAGAATGGTGCAGCTGAAAAAATAGATTTCTAATTGCTTTGCGGCTCTATTAGCATTACTTTTGCATATGTTTGTAGCTGTACAGAGCTCTACGTGGACATTTACAAAACTAGATTAACAGATAAGATGATAAAATAAATACAGTATTTCACAGCTCTTTTTTTTTAACAGCTGCCAAAAAGACACCTCCCCCCACCAATGCCCCCAAACCCAGCATTCTGTTGAAAAGCATCATTTTCCATCATGTTTTGGTCTGTTCTGTTTCCCCTCCAATTTGTAACATTCTGCTGGAAACAGTGATGAAGAACATATGTCTGCAGTAAATTACACCCAGGAGAAATCTTGGAACTGTTACATTCAGTTTTATTACCAAGGCATTCAGATACTCTACCACAACACGTACTATTTAACAGTTCCATCAAACACAACACCACTAATATACTTTTATATTATTATGCATGCAAAAATATTGTATCACATTTCTTAAATCTTATTGGGTGATTAATGTGTTGCATTTTCATTTTAATTAACAGTTCCAGGATACTTTTTTTAGTGCTTCAATGAAACAAGGTGTTACATAAATGCAGAATGCTATTGTACAAATATTTTGGAAAACACATGTTCAGGCAACAATAAAGTTGGGAAGACTAACACTCAATAGCCAGGAAATTGTGAGTGCTTACGCTTCTTTCACAATATAAGTTTTTGCAAGTGCTGCATCTTAACGCATTCTGCAGAGGGCTGCAATCATCTAGGCTACATCAGGGAAACCTAGTGTGGCCGACTGGACAGACAGACTAACATCTCTGAGAACTGCTTTCTTTTCCACTACTGCAAATACTAATACAGTTTCACTAGGTAACACCAAAACCCAAACATAGCATAAATATGCCCTGTGCACTGATGAGCCACATCTTTTGGGGGAGGTTAGCACTAGTTCTGTGTGGTTATCACATCACTGGAGATTTCTTATAGGCATAAACTCAGGCAAGCGTAAGTAAGTTTACATTTAACATGTACAATAGGAATAAAAGATACCTCGTATAAACCTGGTTATTACTTTGACTGATGACTTGACCTCAAAAGTCAAGTTTTCTAAACTTGACAAGGGTTTTGCATTTTATTTCTCAAGTGACTCCACGGGAACAACAAATAAAACCAACAAAAATGTGTATCTGTCAAGACTGCACACCTTCCATGCTTTGCAGAGAAGAGGAAAACAAAAGGCTTAGGCAGCAGTTCAGAGCTACAGCTGAGATACGGCTTTTAATTTCAACTTAAATCAACCAGTACAGTGTTGGGTCCAAACTAAAACCAAAACAGCAGGCACAGGAGCATCAGAAAGCAGAGCACAAAGTATTCTCTCTGTTCAAAGACATGTAATCACTAATACTTGAAAATGTAATTTAATGCTTTTCTTCTTCAAGTTCCAAAATGAGTCACACAAAGCTAAGAGCAGCAGTCCACTTCATGAAGTGCAAACTGAGACCCAGATAAAGTTACTTGCTGAGAGAGAGTCTCACTTTATTAGTACTTATTCATCATGTGTAAGAATAGCTGAAGCTATACTGTTCTGGTTCTCTGTGGTGTTCAGTCCATACATACACTGAATGCAGACATGGCTCATAGAAAATACACTATATAATCATGAAATTGAAGACTGTGCTACAGTGCACACAGGAGTCAAATGATGGTTGCATGGGAAACTGAGTTACTGGCATTTCTCAACTTTGAAGTGCTTGGCTTTGCAGCCTACACATTATTACTTCTGTACGCCTTTTTAAAGGCAACAGTCAATTTTGCTATCTGTTGCTATAACCAAAGCTGTCCAATCATGCATCAACAACAGGGTTTGAAACTTCAGCCTGCAGCTCTGCAGATTAAGCTACTTAGTAAGAGCGGATTTACTGCAGAATGGATATTGAATATTCAGGAACTCAGGTCCCACATGGGAACCTGGAGGTGAGGAGTGAGCCAGCAGGCAGTGTCTTGAAGGCTCCCAGTAACTGGCTTACTTTTCTCTCCTGACATACCTGATTTAACATTCTTCCTATCACTTACCTTGATGGAAAGCTGAAAATGAATGACCGTGAATATTTTCCTTTCTTCTGACTGTGAATGAGATGTTCCAATAATTAATGAAATTTATTTTAGTCTAATTAACTTTTGTGGCTATTTAAGACCAAAAAGGTTTGCTCTTATTTCTGACTTACAGTAAAATGAGGGCAGAATGCTATAGGTCTGGACCACAATCTGTCCAGACACATGGCTCTTGCTAACCTGTAGGGCTGACCTGACCTTGTGAAAATAGGCCAAGGTGTATCTGCTAAAAGGAACAGCCGGTCTGTAGTTCATAGTATGTTCTGCTGGAAGCAGAAGATGTCTCAGCATTATAACCAGTATTGTATCAAAAGGAGAAACTGGTGCTGTCATCTAGTTGCCATCTTTCAGCCCTGCTACAAAGCCCTCCTGCTGTGCCTTTGAAAAAAAACTTGCAGGTGCTCCTATGCTTCTGACTTGCTTTGCCTCCCAAGCCACAAGCAAGATACCCAGGGTTCAGAGGGAAGCAAGATGTGGAACACAGGCCTGCTACAACACAGGTCAAGGAAGAGGAGGTCTAAGACTGCTCATGTTTCCTCAGTTTTCCCAATTCAACTGTACGGCAAATATAGCAAATTATGAATTCAGCAAATTCCACTAATGCTGAAAAAGCAATCTGTTAGATAAATAAAGGCTTGAAAACTACCTAAGGGGCATTCCTAGAAATTTATACTTTCCTCCCAAGACAATCTTTATTTTGGTCATGACAGTAAGTTTTAGTATTTTTTCCTCTTTTATGATTAAGTCAAAAGAACCATTGTTCTAAATAAGATATAAAACAAAGAATGCAGATAAACCAAAAAAAGCATGCAAATAAAGGGAAATACTATCACACACTTGTGCAGAAAGCATAAACATGGTTGTGCTAAACACACAGATACAGGAATAGAAGGATGCAAGGACTCTGGCTTTGTGTCATAGAATTAACTTCACCACATAATGATTTGTTTGATATAAAACTACCAGTGCTGGGTCTGGCTGGGATGGAGTTAACTTTCTTCACAGCAGCTTGTATGGTGCTCTGTTTTGGATTTGTGGCTAAACCCATGTTGATAACACACGAATGCTTTGGCTACTGCTGAACAGTGTTTGCACAGTGTCAAGGCTTTCTCTTTTTCATAGTCAGATGCCCCACATAACAGAGTGAATACTTATGCCTACAGAGATGAATGCTGTTCTTCAGGCACTCACCATGCTTCTAATAGTCTGTCCACTATGTAAAAAGACAGAAGTAATTTTATTTCATAAACTAAAGAAACTTTGCACTGAAACATTCATTCACCTGTTCATCTGCCCAGAAGTTGAGAGCAAACACCCAGATATCCACTTTTACTCAGGAAACAGGCACACTGGAAATCAAGCATACGAGTATTTTGTAAAAACTATGAAATTACTGACCAGTTATGGAGCATAAGACAAGCACAGTGACTATTTTGATCTCCATCTGTGCTTAAAACTACATAACCTGAGAGCATAGAGAGCAACAAAGGAAGCATCTATTTACAAAGGAATGCAGCTTCTCTCTGGTACTCGACCAAAGTTTCAGAGACTTTAAATCTTCCCATACTTACATTAGGCACAACAAAGAGAAACTGATAAACTGTGATTCAAAACACTGTCAATCATAGCAGAAAAGGCAAAATATGAAAATGGATGTTTAGAAATGACTCTACTGCATCCAGTAGAAGATACCACTGAAGCTGTGAGGGAAGCACTACACAGTGGACAGTACGCATTAAAAAACAGGAGAGCAAAAATCTACAAGAAGCCTGGGAACACTGTGGATACCATGGCCAAGAGTATTAAAGTAACAGCACAGTGCATATGACTGAACATGTCCATTCCTTCAGTAAGAGTCTTTTAACAATTACAGTATTTTACACTCAAAGTAACAGCAGACGAGTCAGACCACACCTGAATTTTGAAGCAGAGCATCCACAGGGAATAGTACCAGAATAACCAACAGCAGTATTATTCCACTTCCCTTGAGACTCCCCACTTAGACCAATTCTTGACAAAGGCTTTCAACTATAAGCTCCTCACATCTTGACTTATGTTCATATACTCCCTACCTCAAAGATGACCTAGTCAACGACCTGCTCACTATTAGTAAATATTGAGAAAACGTACAGCAGGAAGCAAGATTCTTTCTGCCATTCAGATATGCCACCCTTGAGACATAGTTCAATCATCCTAATGAATGTTTTTAACAATTATTTTTTTTTCTAAAACATGACACTGGCAGCAAGAGGTTAGGGCTTTCCTATTCTATGAGTGCTCATCTAAAAAAAGGCTTAGCATGCTATTTTTAAAGGCTAATGTTCATGTTGTTTCAGCAAAAAGCTCAATGTTGGTTTTAGACACATTTCTTCTTTTATGCCAGACAGGCCAGCTCCTCATATTCACAAAGCAACTGTGGTTCACTGAACATGCTTCCAGAATTAATTTTGACTTCCCAGGGTCAACTTTACACTGATCAATGAAAGAAGTTGTGGAAAAGATTACCTTATGAAAACACACAAACTTAGCCAACCTTTAACAAAAAGAACAACTTGTAGAGCTTTCATCAGACTCAGCACTCTTCAAGGACAGCCTGTCAGCATTTGGCATATATGAACATGGGAGATGGAACAAATCTACAGGAAATCCTTGTGCTTACTCACGTACCCTCAGCACCACAGACAAGTCAAGCTGCTTTTATGTTTCTCCCAGTTCCTGCATTCCCAGCCATCCAATTTCTCACCACACAAGCAGAATCTTACCTGTTATTTTCTGCAACAAAGGAGATAGCTGTGGCTCATCATTAATGGCCTTGACTAGGGCCTTTTTCACCTCTTCTTCAGCTGCATCTAGCTCTTTTCCACTTTTGATTTCTCCAACTACAGAATACATGTATACCAGCAAGACAAGAAAGTCCTCGAAGGTATAATCATATTTCGTCCTCTTGTTATAAGACTTGATCATTGGTAATAACTGGTTCAAAACACTGGGCATTTCTGACTCGCCAATAGTCTGAAAAACAGAAGGAAGATCATGTCAGATTTCCCCCATAGTGCTTATCGGTTAGCATCAGAAATGCTCCTGCTTGTCTCTGCAAGTTATTATTTCCCATAATAGCAGCGCTCATTTAATGAAACATAGTTCAATATTTGCATTCTTATTTGACAGCACATGGTCGCGTGACTTATTTGCTGTTCAGACAACAAATTTATTAGTTTCCTACAAGTTTCTTCCTAGGGACTCATGATAGCAGCATCTTAGAACTTGAAAAGGCTGCTGATGAGATCTTCTCCATGTACCAGTATGATAAGAGGACAAGAGCATCAGTCTCTGCAATATGGATAGAAATGCTACAAAGCACAAGGTCAAATGCTTCCTCTAAATTTCAGGCCTCCGCCTTGGGCCTGATTTTGTACTTGAGCAGGGAGGTCAAAGCCCATCTCCCATTGACTCTCAGTTGCTACTGCAAGCTCTCAGCACATCTGCAAACCTGACCCTATGCTTTCAGGTCAGAAACCCAGAAAATTAGAAACAGAGGAAACCACCTGTGAAGCACATGGTTTAAGTGATCATCATGGTTTCCTAAAAGACCTCTATGACAGGACAAGGACAGGGCAGCAATCAATGGCCTGCTGTGTGCCCTAACCCTCTTCTCCCTCTACCTTTTTCACAACACACTCACCAGCTTCTCAAGCCACTGAAACCCCTTTTTTGCTAGGCAGGTCAGGCTCATTCTCACAGCACATCCATGCTGCAAGGTAAGGCAAAGATCATGCGGAAGCAGGGAGAAGTACATGACAGTGAGGCTGAAAGATGATCACATGTACACAAGGAGAGGAAGGCTGGCAGAGAAAAGCAGGGGGGAACTGAGAGTTTGCTGGGATGTCCTAAATTCTCAGCAGTTGAAATTGCACTTACTTCTTCTAAGATATGTGGGAGGTGTCTGTACAGCTTTACTGTGGTTGTAAAAAGGAGGCTTGAGACACAAATCCCCTGAAGTGCCACACTGACATCATGTAACACCAAAGCTGGAGTTTAGATCCACTGTGCGGGTCTCTGCCACTCAGGACAGCAGAGTGGCTAATGATACTGCCAAAGTGCCACCCTCGCTGCGTGCACACACCTGCGTATGAAATCTCCACACACCAGTTTTCTGCTGTGGGTTAGTTTGCAGCTCAGCAGTGGGATCAGGTGAGAAGCGGGGCCAGTACAAGGCAAGCAGAAGGAGCATATTGCTCCTGCAGGGGCAGGGAGGTGTGGGAAGAGAGAACAACAGCCTTCCTCTCTCAGTGGCAGTGACTGATCTGATCCATCCAAGAGGTCTCCTGCAACACCAGTACCCTGTCTCTTGCCCTGTGATAACCAAACAGCTTCCTGTGAAAACCTGTGGGTCAATTTATAGTGTACAGGGTAACATCAAATCTCTTATAATCCAAAGAGTTAAGTCTGCAAACATTTATTCTTGGTTGTTACTACAGTAACTTCAAACAGACTAGTCATTGTAAGCAGTTACCATAGCAAATAATATACCCTTTAAATAGATTCACAATAAGTAAATAAAATACAAAACAAACTAACCAGAAAGAGACACAAGTTTATACAATAAGAAAATCATGCAATTAGACTTATCACTGCTTTTAACTGCATTAGTTTAGTTCTGAGCTCTTCTGACAACTGAGTAGTTTTTTCTGAAAACTGGGCAGGTATTTCCGAGTCTAATTTTAGGAACACAGAAAATAAAAGTTTCATCTCCTGGAGTATTCCATACAATACTTCAGGGAATCATGGTTTTGGTTGTATTTTGTTTTAGCTGTTTTTTGACAATCTCAGCAACGCTAACAAGCATCTCATAAACCGTAGTTTTTATACTTACACCAATCCACTACAGATCTCGCTCATAAAGAAAGCATGAATTACTCAAGTTCTCAAGAAACTTTTTTTCCAGCCTGTGCTATAGGAAACAACACTTCTGCAGACTTTGGGCCCCACCCTGCTCCTGACATACAAGTTTTGCCATGGACCCATCTTTCAAGGGACTTTAATGTGGTCAGATGTTATGTTTCTGTTCGAATACATACCTTATAGAAGAATTTTCTAACTACCCACATGCTAAACCTAACAGTAAGTGCAACTGTGGACTTGAAGCAGTAAATTACAAAGCTACAGTGGTCAAAAGCATGTGGGAGCCAAAAAGGAACATTTAGAAATCCGGGAGGGGTTGGCACCCTGTGTGTATTTGGGCAGGGAGCATTAAATCACATGCACAGCAAGTCCAGGCACTACTCTGCCTGGGAAGCAAATCTATGGTGTTTGGCACCAGTCTGGCACATGCTGGCAGCTGGGCCACCCTCAAGACAAGGCCATCAGTTCCCAAATTTCAATTCAGCCCTACCTCTGTTCAATATTACCTGCTCCCTTCTTGAAAAGTGACAGACACAAATTCTCATCTGTACTCCAGTACAATAAATACCAGATCATCCAGATCCTAAAATGGAAAAAGACAAAACTTCCAAGGAATACAGAGCTATGCAGCTACTGGGAGAAAGCCTAAGAACTGAAGACTAACCTACAAGTGAAGTTATTCTGGAATAGACGACAAGCTTCAATCTATATTAATCTGAATTCACTTTCCAGGAGAGCAAGCTCTATGCCACATATTATTGAATATAATCTACCATCTACTATTCTTCCATCCCCTCCCAACATACAAACTCCCTACTTCACCCCATCTCTAAATATCTCATAGCATGCTCTTACAACACCAAAGATGAGTTCTTGAAAAAGCTCTGTTCTGTATGAACAAATTAATCCAAATGCATAGAGCACTGAGGATGCACATGGTTGTATAAAAAAGTAGGGTCAACAGCTTCTGCTTGAGGATAGTAGCTCCTGAGAGTACACGTGTACAGCATCTCTGGCAAACTTTCAAATATACATGCTAAAAAAAAAAAATAGGTCTAAACTTTCAGGATGATTTACTGTAGGGCTAAAACTCAACAACTTAAAGCAACAATTGCCACCTCTTATCTTCAAAGTAAAAATGAAAGAGAAAAAAAAAATTAAAGAGCTATAATAAACCGTTAACTTCAGAACGCACGTAGGGTCTTTCTGGGTTATGAACTTCTCTGGAATGTTTTTCCCTTATCTCTTGGGAAATGGCACTACAGAGGACTTCAAATGGAACTGCCAAGTTTCAGAGGCTATTTTGTCCAAACAGGCCAGTTGGACTGGAGCGTGCATGAAAAAAAAAAAAAAAAAAAAAAAAAGCTGGGAAATTTGCCTCAAACAAAATCCACTGGCAGATTGTCATTATCTGGCCACCTCCGATGATTTAGAGGCTCCCTGCACCGCCTAACAATCAATCAATTACCCTGATTGAACAACCCTAAAACACAAGTTTTAAAAATGTAACTACCCATGACCCAAATTTCCTGCTGGTTATGTTGGCCTCAGGTTAGCCCCATTTGTCTATCATCAAGGGAGCCAATAAAAATAATAAAAACAGATCAGTTCTGAGCTTTCCAAAGCCTGTGTAAAAACATTAACACTGCTTAATGCAGAGCCAGCTAAGGCCCAAGCTCTAACGCCTTCTGCTCACTTGCATTGTTTGGACATTTTGATGCTATAATCATATATGCTTCAGAATCCAGGGAGAGTTTGTGATAGATTTTTGTTGTTTTCCATCTCTTTCCTCCACCCTCCTTCGTTATTTATTTTTATAACTTAAGCTGTGTAATAATTTACTATCCCTAAGGGTAAATGAACTGACGTCAATTTGCTGATTTTTGCAAAAGAACCGAGTTTTGGCAGATGGAAGAACAGTGAAGAAAGTAAAAAAATCTTTTTTTTCAGTTTTTAAACAGTGAACATGATATTGTGCTTCAAAAGTGACATTTAAAATGTGATTTAAAGGTTCTACAGGAATTAAGAGGAAGTGTAATAAACCCAAGAAAAAATGTTTAGCATTTCTGTGAAAGGCATTATTTTCAGTATTAAATAAACCTGTAAGAATCTAAAGCCATATGTATCATTAGATATCTTTTATACAATAGAAAACAGAGTGTGCTGGGGAGGAAGAGAAGAGGAGGGTCAGAGTTTACTTGAATTAACACGTGTCCCTGACAAAATTGAGAAGAGAACTGAGCACTCTAATCCCTGAGCTTCCAGCCCACTGTCCTCAACACATCATTAAAAATATTAAAGCAAAAATCAACTTCAAGCAAGTGGAATTTATTTTCTTTTAAAATCCAGGAGGAGGGAGGAGATAAATCTTAAGAGACTACTTCACTACGTAAATATTCTAGCAGCTTTCCATTTAGGAGGCAAAACATGTTTAATTCCTTCAGAGGTTGCATGAGTTAACAGAACTTTTTGGAATGGGAGCCACACAGCTTTACAACAGTGAGGAATTTTATTGGGGAAAAACAAAACTAGAAAACAACACTCAAACCCGGCTCAGGTAAAACCAGCAGAAGTATCAGTGGAAACACACAAGCCCTTGGGTCATTTGCTGCCCCACATTCCTGAACTGCCCTATTTAATAGAAGTTCCTTTTATTGATAACTTAGGTGGAAAAACAGAGCTCATGAGTTGTAGAATAAGCAGCTTGCAATGTTGTTGCATTTGATCTGTTACGTTTTACCTGGGTTTGACATTTTGTGATTTTGCCACCATATTAGCTTCCCCACTATCCAGACAAAGGCAGAATATTCTTACTGCTAAAAGTGAGAATGGCACCAAGGTAGGACCTCATAGGTATGCAAAACCAGCTCAGAAACTTCTATGGCAACAGATCTCTACAGCTGTAGTCAGTGAAAACCAGAGGCGCTGCCAAGCTAAGGAGGAGTCTTAGCTGCCTGCAGTGCTCAGCTGCCCATAAATCAAACGCTGCAGTTCTCTTACTTGCCATTTTACAGTGTTTGGCCACCTGAGATTTAGGGTTTGATTGCACGTAATTTCCATATGGGTGAGAAGATGTCTGTACTCCCTACTTCCAACAGAACAGTAATTCC